TATTAATAATTTATGTCTAATATTATAAATTGACTTTTTATTTATTTAATTAGTATTAATTTATTTATTTTAAATTTATTTTTATTAGTTTTTCATAAATTTATACATTATAAGTTTTTTATTAAGCCAATTTCTTCTTATTAGTTTATTTTTTATTCATTAGTTTATATAAGTTGAGTGTTTGTTATTTATTTAATGTTAAAACAAATTTTTATTATTTGTTTATTATAAATATATTTATTATTAATTTTTCGTTTATTAATTATATTTTTATCCATTTTTTTTGTTTTAATTTAAGTATTAATAATTATTTTTTTATTTTTTTATTTGAAATTGAGTTTTTATTTCTTTAATTCAAATAAATTTATCTTCTATCAGTTTATTTTATAATAATTTAGCTACTGTTATTTCTATGAAGTTAAAATAATATTTATTATATTTCTTAATATAAATACTTATTATATTATTAATTTATTTTACTTTTTTAACTTGCATATTAATTACCTATTTTTTCATAAATTATGGATTAATAATCTATTTTTTATATTTAATTATTTTAATTTTTTTTTAAATAATTTAAGTACTATTAATTTATTTTTGATATTTGATTACTTCAATTTCTTTTATAAATTATTTCTTGTAAATTTGTTTTTTAATAATTTGTTTATCAAAAATACAGTTTTTACTAATTTTGTATAGTTTTCGTTTATTTTTTCATGTATTTATAACTATTTTATTATTTTTTTTTATTTATTTTATAAATTAATGTATTATTTGTTTTCTTTTTGTTTGTTTATTTCTTTTTTATTTTTTACTTTTTTTTAATATTTCATTTAGTTTTAGTTTATCGTTTATTTTATAAACATAAAAGCTTTAATAGAATATAACAAGCTTCAGCGAAAATTCCAAAAATAATTAGGGAAGCCATAATGCGTAATGAGACTGGAGCTTCTAATATACATAATTGATTATACTTGCATTCACAAATATATACACATATGCTTTTATATATTTATACAAATTAAATGTTTGATATCTTGCTTTTATATGTATGTATGAAGTTCCGATAAATAATTAAATGTAAATAAACTCAAATATGATTGCCTCAGCGCATTTATATGGTGTATAAGTGTCTGGTGTATATACATATGTGTATATGCAAGTTGATAACCTTTATCTGGGTTACCACTCAATTGCACAAGTACGCTCGTGTTTAGTCTGAAGTTTATTCAATTAACAACAAAGCGAATTTTGCTAATTAGCACATAAATATTTACAAAAATAATTACATGTGTGTGCGTGTATTTCTTTCTTCTTTCCATTTATTATTTAAAGCAACAGACAAAGACAATAATAAGAACAAAATGTGGTCGAAATTAGTAATGTAAATTACATTACGTGACAATTTGGCGCCACAAAGTCTGTGAAATAATTAGAAACAGAACATTTGTATACTCATACATACATATACTGCTGGAGCAAGAAATTGTATAATACATAAAAATTCTATTGAGAGAAAAATGTATTTTTAGGTTGAAATTAAGAAATAAATATTTTTAATTTTTTTTTATATGTTATTATTATTTTTGATTTCTACATACCATATAAAGTGGAACAAAGTAATAACAAAGGAATTTTAATTAACAAATAAAAAAAGATATATTGCACATAAATAATAAGTAAGCTATTTGCTTTTTGGTAAAAGTATATAATGTATTGTATAATCTTCAATTTTTAAATCTTCATAAACGCATATTTTACTTTTATAGAAATCATAGGCAGATTTAATTTAAATTCAATATATTTATATCTGCAGCAACTGTACTATTGTTAAAACACATGTATTTGTATATATTTATGCTTCGAATCGACTGATAATATTAACAAACAACAAAAAAAAAACAATACAAAAATAGAAATGATCTCATTGTAAAAATCGAATAACAAAACGAAAAGGGAATAAATTTAACGCCAAACAATGCACTCGAAAAACGGCAAAAGAAAAAAGAGTCAACCAGGTGAACAAACATTTAAATGAATATGAGAAGAAACTCAATAAAATGTAAGAATGCCGAAGAATAGTGTAAAATAAGTATTAAAAGTAAATCAAATTAAATAATATATATCAATTAAATTGGATAAAAACGAAAGTTGAATAACAAAATATTTATGAAAATATAAACTACAGCAATGTTAAAACAAATAAACTTAATAATTTAAATAAAATTAAATGTGTTAATATACAAGAAAATAAAATAAAATATATAAATAGAAAAAAATAAAATAAAATAAAATAAAATGAAAATAAAATAAAATAAAATAAATTAAAATAAAATAAAATAAAAAAAATCAAATAAAATGCAAAATAAAAAAATTGAAGTAAAAATAAAAATAAATAATAAAGATGAATAAAATAAACAGAAATGAAATAAAATAATATAAACTTAAATTTAATAAAATAAAAAAGATTAAAAAAATTAAATTCAATAAAATAGAATAAAATAAATAAACTAAAACTCAATAAAAATAAAATAAAATAAATTAGGTCAAATAAAAATTAATTCAAAAAAATAAGGAAAGATAAAATATAAAAATTTAATTCAATAAATAAAAGTAAAATAATAAAAAAATAAAATAAAATGCATCAAAACAACATGAAACAAAATCACATAAAATACATTATAAAAAAATTAGAGTAAAATAAAATAAATAATAAAGAAAAATAAAATAAGTAAACTAAGCCTCAATAAAAAATAAAATAATAATAAATTAGGTCGAATATAAAAATAAAAATTAATTTAAATAAAATAAAAAAAACGACATGAATTAAATAAAAAAGCATGAAGTAAAAAAAAAATAAAATAAAATGATATACAATTAAATAAAAAAAATAATAAATAAAATTAAATTAAATTAAAAATTATAAAAATAAAATAAAATAGATAAAATAAAGTACAATAGAATAATAAAATAAAATGAATTAAAGTCAAATGAATTGAGAATAAATAAAATAAAAAAAATTAATAAAATTAATTAAAGTAAAATCATAATAAAATTAAATTAAATAAAACTAATAAAGTAGCATAAAACTAAATTAAATAAAATACAACAAAAAACCTTAAATAAAACAAAATAAAACGAATTTAAATGAAATAAAAATAAGATGAAATAAAGAATAAAAAAATAAAAAATTAAATTAAATAAAATGAAACAAAATATATTATTTAGTATAATATTAAATTAAATAAAAGAAGATTAAAATTAACAATTAAATTAATATAAAGTAAAATAAAATTTAATTTAATTAATCAAAATAGAATAAAAACAGATAAAATCAAATAAAAATATATTAATTAAATTCAAATAAAATAAGTATACATAAAGAAAATAAATTTAAGTAAAACAAAAAAAAAATAATAATAATATATTTAAATTAAGTTACATAAACTGAAACAACATAAAATAGTAAGGAAATTGTAATAAACAAAACAAAATAAATTACATTAAATAGCATAATCTAAAATAAGAAAAATATAGTAAAATAAAAAAATAATAATAATTAAAAATAAATAATAATAAAATAAAAATAATAATAATTTAAAATAATATATACTAAAAATATATAAATATAAATAAAGACAAATTCGATTGATTGTAAAATATTTAATAATAATTGAACTAAAATAAAGGAAATAACTTTGAGAGATTTTAAAAGAATTGCTCTAGACATTGATACCAGAATCGCTGTCTAAAAAAACTTATCATTTCTTACATCAATTCTTCTGAATAATTAAAGAAGAAAATCTTCTGAAAATTTACTAAATATTTTTTTTTTTTTAGTATATGCCTTGAAATAAAAACTAGTCCTTTCATTGTAGAATTAAAAGAAATTTATATTTTTTAGAAGCCCTCATAATTTCATGTTTCAAAAAGAAACAGCTGATGACTCGCAGAAAATAAAATGTGAGCCAGACAACCAAATCTACAAGCACAGCACACCATACTCAAATATAAACATTTAATTACATAGTATTATTATTTATTTATTGCATGAACTGTACTTCGTACCCATAACACAAACACGCACACACCCACACCCATGTGCACACAAGAAACATACAAAAATATCTCACAGTGTACAGTTGCCACAAAAATACATGAAAAAAGTAAGCGAAAAAAAACCAGAAATGAACTAAAGAGCAACAACATAAACATTGCCAGCGGGGCGAAATTGTTGCTATGGTAGCGTAAAGCTAAAATATTTTATAGTATACGAGTATGTATGGTAGCAAAAATATATGTATAGCGTAAAGAGAGCAAAGAAGAGAAAGGGTGATTGGTAACAAATATCTGTAAGTGAAGCAGAACAACAAAACGTTTAGTAAACAAGTTCAAACACAATGACAGGGATGACAGTGAACGACGTCACCTGTGCAAACCGCTATGGATTTTTCGATACTTACAAATACACACACATTCATTCATACATACACTTGCATGTATCTATGCATTTTTGCGCCAAATGGCAAGTTGCTAAACGCGAACAGCTGACGCTGATGAGGCGAAGTAGTAAAACAGACGGACGGAGCAGAAGAGCAAGAAAGAGAGAGAGAGAGAGTGAGAAGTTGGTAGATTTATTTATACTATGTACTTTGGGATTGTGTTGGCTTGCCAGCGAGCTTTACTACGGCGACAACAGATAGACAATCGATTTATTTGTTTTTAATGTAGGTACGTAGGTACAAAAGAAAAATTTTTTTCAAGGAAAGGACAACCGATGCGTCAGTCAGGAAATACTTTTTGTTAGTATTTGCGCAAATATTATTATACGTTATCAGAAATTTTCCGAAAATTAAATAATTTTTTTTTTTTTTCAAAATTTTGTTGAAACATTCTTTTTAATTTTTTTTTTTAACTTCAAAGCATCTTGGTAATATAGCACTTAAATATTTAAAAAAAAAAAATAATAATCAAATTATTAAATTTGTATATGTACATACACTTGTTATATGCTCATCCAGCAGCAGTGTTTCGCCCAGCTCGGCACCCAATGTGGCGGTGGGATCTGTGAGGGTCAACAGCATTGGCACAGACATTTTGCTTTATATTATTTATATTTTCTCTACTCCTTGCACGTTTAATATAAACAAATAATTGTATTGGAGTTTAAGAATAATTTGTACTTTTTCCCACTTTACTCAATATGAGAGTACTTCAAGCAAATAGTTTTCAGCAGCCCAGGAATTGAAAGCGGAAGCGGAAATGCGCAACTGTTGCCTTGATATACGGTTATTTACAGAATATTGTCAAAGAAATTTTCTTTGTTGATTTTTTTTTAGCACAATTTGTGTTTAGACATCTTTTCGCGTATTTATTTATGAAATATTTAGCACTTTATAACAAACTGCTAGAGTTAATTTCTTCAAAAAAAAATATTTTTTTTTTTCAATAAATTCGGTTTAACAACGTCTTTTGAGTTTCTCTTTTAAATATTGTTTGTCGCTTCATTAGCACTTCTTACTGTGTGGGTAATAATAAGTTTGAACTGAATAATTTCTTGTACTTATTCACTTTTTCATTTATGTATTGAAATTTGTTTCAATATTTATTTTTTATTAATTTTTTTTATTAAATAATTTTTTTTTTGTACGCACTAAAATCCTTTTTCTTTTGAATATTGCTGAGTATTTATGTCTTTTTCGCTACAGATTTAAAAACGCTTTGCTATACACACGCTAGTAGCAGTCGCAATTTAAACGGTTTCTTACGCTGCTTTTGCACTTGGCAGCGCGCCGAACAAAGGCAATTACGTTGAGTTTTATGTACGATGACGTCGACGTCGGCTACGCAAAGCAGCGTAGATATATGCCGTTGACTTTCAGAAGTATGACTGCGCTCTCTCGCTCTTTTGCAAACACAATTATATAAATGCATGTGTAAGAGTATCTATGCGTACACGTATTTGCATGATAGCTCGCATGTGTTGGTAAATATTGGCTTAGTGTGCGCGTTTTGCTTTTGTGTAGGTATAAAAAGTTCCCTCTTCTTTTGGGTTGGTTTTATGTTGCTGTTATGTTGTTGTTGTTGTTTACCATTCACGCCTACACAACTACATACATATGTATTGAGGTATAATGTTTCCACTCATTCACATAAATTCAATATGCGTATGCTTGAAAGGAAAACATTCACGTGTTTTTCAACTGTACGCTGCGCTCATAATAAACTGATAACACAAACAATAACAATACGATTATGTTTTAAAGGCAAAAATAATGTGAGTTTACGAAATATTGAAATTACATATACAATATATGTATACATGAATATATAATATATACAAACAGCCAACTATTTACTTTAGTGACACATTCCTTTATATATGTACATACATACATATATAAATACATATTACTCTATTTAACATTAATTTCTATTTATTTATTTTATTTTATTTTTTAGATTTTTTTTTGCTTTTGTTATATCAATTTTTAATCTATTTGACTTTATTTTAACTTAATTTAAATTTTTAAATTACTTTATTTTTTTATGTAACTTTATTTTATTTTAGTTTATTTTATTTTATTTTATTTTATTTTATTTTATTTTATTTTATTTTATTTTATTTTATTTTATTTTATTTTATTTTATTTTATTTTATTTTATTTTATTTTCTTATTTTATTTTTATTTATTTTTTTATGTTTATTTACATTTTCTTTATTTTATTTTATTGTACTTTACTTTACATTATTTCATTAGATTGTATTATTGTTTTATATGTCATATTATATTATTATATATTATATAAATTTATTATATCTTAAATTAATTTTTTTTTTAATTTTATGCTCATTCGTGTTTCTTATATTGTATTGTTTTAATTAATTTTATTTTATTATTTGATTATCTTATTTTATCTTAGCTTATTTGAATAATTTTTCTTTTTTACTTTTTATTATATCTTATGTGGCTTGGATTATTTTAGTTAATATAATTTAGTTGTCTTTGGATTCATAACATTTAATTTAATTTTTAAGATTCTAATGAAATTAATTAAATAATTTTTTCTAGTATACAATATTAAGTAATCTTTCCAATATTCATTTTATTTATGTATGTACTTTTATAATACATTCTTATGTACTTATGCGTCAAGAAGTCATAAAACGCCCTGAGGCATCATCGCAGCAACGCACAAACACAACCGTACTGTACCGAGTCACGACGCATACTGAAAATTGCAACAATAAGAAAATGATAGTGGAATTACTGTGGTAAACAACTAAATAGCTTTCGTAAGCATTTCGCACAGTGCAGCAATTCAAGTGCTATTCGTAAAAAAATATTTATTTTTTGTTTTGATTTGGTCCAAACTTGAACCTTCAGAGAGTTACTGGTAACATGAAAAAAGGTATTGTCACAAGTCACTGTATTAACAATTAATTCATGAAAAAATTAAACTGAAATGAAAATGAGAACGCAGATTTCACACATCTCAACATGCATTCAAAGAATATGTGTTTACGAGTTGCCTGAATATAAAATTACTCTAAGATAAATTTTCAAAATAACTCAATAAAAATGTTGAGGGTTTTTTTTATGAAAAGGCGAAACAATTATCTTATGTATTTTATTTTTTGCTTGCGAATATCTTACTTGCTTCTCTTCAGGTTGAAAATCCAAATAAAAGCTATTAAAACAATATTTTCTATAATCTCTGTTTTCTTCTTCTTTTTTTTTTTAATTTGCATTATAATTTTTTTTGTACAAGATAAATAATAAAATGTATATAGTTAATAAAATAAATTAAATTTTTGTCTATTTGCTAGTTATTATTCCTTTAATTTTTTTTTACATTTGACTTATTATTCTTTTCAAAGTCGCAAATTTGACAATTATGTCATTTAAAAACATATTCATTTTTTCATCATTTTGCACCACTGTGCATAAAATGTAAGCTGAACTGCCAACCGAATGTAGTGCGTGCATAGTATTTGGGCCGCCTGAATAAGATGACAATTTCACAAATGTGTACAGTAGTCACTAATTTTACAAATGTACATGTACATTTGCACCTTTGGCTACATAAATACAATGGCAGGTATGTTTAAGCAGAGACATTCATACATATATACACATTAAAAAATGTTATTTACCAAGCTAGATTCACTTCCAAGATTGCAAATGTACATATGTATGTATATACTAAATATATTTTTGTGTATGTGCTTGTAAGTACGTATATACTTAGTTATATGCACGTAGGCCGGCTGAAAAATAAAAGAATTAGAAATTTAATACCATTTACATATTTTATGACATCATTAAATCTCTCCTCGGAATTTCAGCTATGTAGATACATAGTAATTTAGTTGCATTAGGGTAGGTCAGTATCTGCCTTCTTTTTTTTCTCTTAATTTTTCTAAGGATACTGCCTGAATATAGCATTCAAAAAGGCTTACTTAGACAGCGGTGATGCCAGAAAATCTTTTAAAGGATATGTAGTAGTATAGCCCATTTCTCTAGCTCGATCTGACACTTATTTAGATATGCCTCATTTTAAAAAGTTTTATTTTTTATTAATAATTATAATTATTAATATATATTAATTTAGTTAAATTTATTTGATTAAAAAATCTACCTTTTCACTGGGAGCGATTGAAAATAACCTTTTGTTCATGCTCCAAGAACCTCTGATAAACATTTGTTTTTTAATCAGCGCGTTGTAAATGCATCTAGGTTATAGTTTACGTCTAAATTTTAGTTTTTTTTTCAACAAATAAGAGGAGCTACAATTTCTACTAAGTCGCTTTCGAACGGCTGAAAGTATCTTATGAAGAGATTTTATTTTTCAAATACACTCGGAGTGCTTCTTGACATATCCTATAGAGATGTGGTCGCATTTAAGAAAAATAACTTAATTTTTTTTTACATTTTTCCCCCATAATTTTTGGATTATGCGCACTACTAACCACTCGTTTATAAATGACCGAATTTATTCTATATAAAATTCAAACTCAATAAAAATATAATTTTAAAACTTATTGGACCACCCTAATATACGCATCACCAAGCAGCTAATGTCTATAATTCAAATAACAATTTCTGCTACTTGAAAAAAAAAAAAACATCACAACACTATGTACAGTGCGTTCAAAAAGCAGCACAGACACGTGCTGGCCTCAACGTAACGTGTCAAGTTGAGTTGATGATGATGTAAAGCAGATGAAAATACATACAAAAACATATATGCTCATTTCTGCTTGTAGTGGTTAAATCGTTTCGTCAGCAACTGTACACTCCCACTTTTTTAGTTATTTTAATACATACTTATATATTAAATGATCAGCGCTGATCAACAGCTGAATTTTCACTTCAACCGTTCTCACTCTCTCTCTCTCTCTCCCTGACACATTCTTAATATCGCGCTCTCACCTTGAGCCCGTTGATATTGCATGAAATCAGCTTGAACTGGTTATAATGGCATAAACCCGCATAAGAATATAAACATGTAAGTATGTATAATATGTATATACATATGTACTTTTTACGTAAATATTTTTTCGATTTTGTGACAGTTACGAAACAACGAGAACTCAATAAAATATACGGTAAACAAATATAAAATTTCCTGCCTTTATCACTTTGGTAAATAAATTCAATAGAACACGGCAGCATTTTGTGTTGGGGGGCTTGACTGATGTTCAAGCAATCTTACGGTCTTAAACTCATACATGCATATGCAAATATACATATCTACATATTTAAATACCTACATACATACATATATACACATGTATATAAACATTAATGAGCAATTTGTTTTCATTTAATAGTTGTTTACCACTTTTATATTGGGAAACTTTTGTTCTTAATTTGTTTACCGTAAAATATTACGCTAATTTCAAAAACGTTCTCATTATAACTGTTGTTTTTCACATTAATATTGATTTAATTACCTGACTTAAAGATAATGTGAAAGTGCGCAAAATATTGTTTTGATAATTTTGAAAACAGAATTGATAGTTTTGAAATAGAAACAAGGGGCGACTGATAAGTGCGCGGCCTAAAGCACTTAAAGGTTTTATGCAGTGGCATTTTATTCTACAAATTATTAGAAATGTTAGTAGACAGAATTTAATGTACTTTAACAATAAACGATTCATTTTAAAAAATATCAGATCCTCTTGTTCTTGTAGTCGATCACCAGAAGGGCCTTCAAAATAAAAGAAAAAAGGTGTCTGACGGTGAGGAATTTTATTTCTGCTTCAAATTATCTGACACCGGAAAATCAAAAAAAAAAATATTAATATAGATGAATACAGTTAATTATCGAAGAGTAGTGATAATTTTGATTTATGACAAAATGGCGGCTTCAAAAAAAAGAAAGATTCATTTTTTCAGTGAAATTCTACACTTCAAAGTGCCTTAAAAAATCAAAATTGTTGCTAAAAGTTGTATTCCTTCGATCATAACCTAACAATTATGTTTTAGAAGATCGTGTGAAAATTTTAAGCCGTACGGTTCAGCCGTTCCAGAGATATTTTTGTCACCGACTCTGGCAACAGCGTTTCGAGAAAAAGGTATTGAAAGTTTTGCGAGCCACTTGCACTTCGAGTGTTGTAAATTAAACTACTTCGACTTGCGCTTCGCCTATTTTCGAATGCTACGAGACGTCCTTAATGGTACGATCATATCTCCGAGACTATTTGTCGGATAACCTTAAGAATGAAGAAACAGCACTCAGCGCGATAAATTGCCATGTTTCTATTGTACGACTGCCTTACGTGCCTAACTCAACAAATTAGCGTAATACTGGCCATCTATATCTTATTTATACTAATAATGAGTCCCACAATTAGTACCACCATTAACTAGATGATGTGCCATCTGTAATATTGCAAGATCGTCATGTGATCTATCGTGAGTTTGAGATAACTATAGGCATTACTATTTGAAGGATTAAGGAAAACCAACTGCCGTAGAGTGGCCACTCTTCACCACGAAAATGCGAGCTCTTACACTTCGACTGAAATAACTACATTTTTGAATACTCAAAACATCCATATAATGAGTGATCCACCATATAGTCCTGATTTGGCACCGAATCACTACTTTTTATTTCCGTACGTAAAAAAAAGTACGTTTTTCGACAGCTGCGATGGCGATATGAGCATACCTGTTTCCTCGGCGAAGTGCCTGCTAAGAGCA